AGGGCAAGGGATGGGTGGGGGGGCTGCAGTAGGGGAGGGGAGAGAAGGAAATCTAGGAGAGGAGGGGATAGAGGTCAGAGAAAATGCAGGACACCCAGTTAAATCTCCGTGTCCGATAAACAACAAATACTTGTCAAGTATGTTCCATACAATATTTGGGACATACTAAAATGTTATTCGTCATTTATCTGAAATTAAATTTAGCTTGACAGGCCTGTGTTTTCACTTGCTTAATCTGGCAACCTTAGGAGGGGAGGAGGAGGGAGTGGGGAAAAGGAAGGGGGGGAGAAAGGGGAGGGGAGAAGGTGCTGGGAGAGAGGGAGAAAGGGGGGAAGGGAGAGGAGGGTGAAGGAGCAATGCTGATTTTCCCATGGGGCTGTGCACAGAGTACAAGGAATGCTTCTCCCTGTACGACAAGCAGCAGAGGGGGAAGATAAAAGCCACTGACCTGATGGTGGTGATGAGGTGCCTGGGGGCCAGCCCGACACCGGGGGAAGTGCAGCGGCACCTGCAGACTCACCAAATAGGTAAGTGACCTGGGCCAGTGCAGCCTGTAGGTAAGAGGCAGCCTGTAGCTGAGGGCCTGGTGAGGAGCCCAGCAGGTGGAAGCAATGGAAGCTCAGAAGTGTCAGGGGCAGGTGGTCGTCAGAGCTCGCCAGGACCAAGCTGCGAAGGCATCTGGCCAGGGGGTCCAGCATCACTCTGCTTCCTCGAACCCTCCCACCAACCATGGATGCCGCTGTTTCCCAGAGGACTTCGGGTTCTGGGCACTCCAGCAAGTTGATCACAAACCTGTAATAAAGACAGTGCCAACGGGGTGGGCCCAGTTTTGTTTTTAAAGGAAAGATCACCTTTATTGAACACTTGCCACGTGCCAGGCTGGGCTCACACAGGTTGGCGCTCTCCTAGGCCCCACTGTGCGGTGAAAGGCAAGGTGCACAGCCCTTGAGTAACTTGCTCAAGTTCTCCAGCCAGTGGTGGAACCAGGATCAGAACCAGTTCTTCTGATTCCAAAGCCTGAGCTGCTAAAAACTGTGCAATCCTGCTGGAAAAAAGCCTGCGAGGAAACTCACCCAAAGCGTTACCGCGGTTCCCCCCGGTGAGGGGAGGGGCGATTTTCCTTTGCCTTCTGGTTGTTTCCTGTATCTTCACCGCGGGAACTCACCGCACTTTCCTCATCCGACACAAACACCAAGTTAAAAAAAAAAAAAAAAAGGAGATGGTGTTGGGGGGAGCTGTTTGCTCTGATCATAGGACACTCAGGAAGGGGAGGGGGGAGGAGAGGAAGTCGCCTGGAAAGAACACTTGACCTGGAGCCCAGAGGCCACTCGTCACTCTCTGGACCTCGGTTTCCCCATCTATCAGATGGCTGATCACCATCTGTTGGGGTTACAGGAGGTCCCGATAGAGCGCGGCTGCAGCAGCATTGCGGGGGCATCTGGGGGTGGGCCAGTCTGGGCCCTGGGGCATCGCACCTGGTGATGGGACTTGCAGTGGTTTGGTACCTGAGAGCCCCCCCCCCGCCCCGTTTCCACCTGCAAAAGGGGTGGTAGTTTCTGTTTCCGCCAAAGAGCAAGTTGCAGTCAGGCTGAAGATCCGATTTCCGGCAGGGCTTGGGCTTCAGCCCCACGGCGTTCCCAGGAGGGGCGCCGCTGGGGAGGCTGCAGGTGCGGGAGGCAGGAGACACCCAGGCTGGGACTGAGGCCTGAAGCCTCTGGTGGGGTCATCCATCCATCCTCCTGGCCGTCTGCACGGGCTGCCAAGGGAGGCATGGAGCTTGGCCTGGGAGGGGCGGACACGTGGGCAGCCTTCCTGCAGTTCAGGGAAAGAGGGGAGCAGCGGAAGGAAGTGGGGGTGCCCCCTCCTGATCCTGCCACCGCTTGGGAGGATACTGCACACTCTGAGCCTCTGTCTGCTTAGCAGGTGGATGGTAACCGTAATGACTGAGCACTGTTGGGAGGATTAAACAGGGAAAGGCCAGTCCAGAGAGCGGCTTGGGGTGGAAACTCAGTGAGAGGTGCTGCCTCCTCACCATGACCGCGGCCACCAGTATGGCGCCTCCTGAATTAGCTGGCACCTGAGCTGGCTGGGAAGACTTGGGCAGGAGGCCAGTTAGTTGGCGTCCCCAAGAAGAGCCTTTTCCTGCTGCTCACTGGGCTGTGTTTGGGGTTTCCTAGACAAAAATGGAGAGCTGGATTTCTCTACTTTCCTGACCGTGATGCACATGCAGATAAAACAAGAAGACCCAAAGAAAGAAATTCTCCTGGCCATGCTGATGGCCGACAGGGAGAAAAAGGGCTACATCATGGCATCTGAGCTGCGGTCAAAGCTCACGAGACTGGGGGAGAAGCTCACCGACAAGGAAGGTAACAGCCTGGGACCCTGTCCCCCAACAGCTGGGGTAGGTAGTTGGGGAGGGGCACTAGAGCTGAATCAGTGCCACCAGGTTGTTCAGACCACCACAGCTGATGCATGTCACAGAAGCCTAGGACCAGACATCAAACTAGGGGAACTCTGGCCCTGAGCCCAGGGGGAAGAGCTGAGGCTCACCCCGCGGGGCCCTGGAGGATCTGGAGGTGAGAGGGGAGGGTCTGTCAGAGTGAAGGGACAGCCTGGGGAAACCCGGCTGTGGTTGGACACAGCATGGGGTGGGAGCATCTACTTGGGCCCTGCCCTGCGTTGAAGCCTTTACTGTGGGCCTTCATTTAATGCTTACAACACCCCTGTGAGCACTGTTACTCACCTTATAAAACCTTATAAAACCATCTAGTCAACTCTGACTCATGGCCATCCTGTGTGTGTCAGAGTAGAACTGTCCTCCACAGGGTTTTCAATGGCTGATTTTTCAGAAGTGTATCACCAGGCCATTCTCCTGAGGCACCTCTGGGTAGACGTGAACCTCCAACCTTTCGGTTAGCAGCCGAATTTGTACCACCTAGGGATTCCTACCCATGTTATACTGATAAAGAATGGATGTGAAGCGAAGTGAGTGCTTGTGAGTAGCAGAGCTGGGATTTAATGCAGGTCTTTTAGGCTCCCCCCACCCCCACCTTCCATCTCAGGCCCTTTTCCCTCAGCACAGCAGGGCTTTGAAACAGTTCTGCTAGGTTCAGTCATGGAGGAAAAAGCGAAATCCAAATGGACTCGAATTTTTAAAATGTAAGTGAATGATAACCGGAACAAGAAAAAGTTTTCTGCTAGAAACTTAATCTCCCTCTTAGAAAACAAGGGCAGTATGCACATTGCATATCAACCAAATCTCTTGACCAGCAGAGTTGGAAACAGCGGTGTCCCACTCAAAGATGGCGGCCAACCATGCTGCTTTGAATGTGTGTTGCTCTCCACAGTCCTCACAAGAACCCAAGCTCATGCATCAGGCTTCTGAAAGTGCTCACTACGTCTCTTCTGAGTCTCCCATTGCAGGGCTTCGACCCATAGTTTTTCCCGTTCTGGTTATCCTTCTACTTCACCTAAATTTTAAAAATTCCAGTCTGTTCCCATTTTGCTTCCTCGGTCCTGCAGCATAGCTGTCCTCTGAAGTTGCTAGTCATGCCAGGAACTTCCAGATTTAGATGCTACTTTGGTCCCTTTCCTCATGACTCAGCCAGCTGTAAGAGCTCTTCCAGAAGGAGTCTGTGGTGGTCTTTGCTGGACGGTTGGACAAGTATTGCTGTCCTGGAGCCCCACGGGGGGCTTTTCCCTCACACCTTCCAGAAACCCAGCACGCCTTATCCTACTGTAGAGCAGGATGACGGCCCTGGGTCCTTTGGGAAAGCCCTTTATAAACTGAAAAGCTGGGCCATTTGTGGGTGCTCTTTCAGCCTGAGGGGACACTGCCTGGCTAGCCTCTGGGTCCTGCCACAGCAGCCATCGCCAGTCTGTCCCCAAGGCTGCACCAACTCCCAGAGGCTGAGATTTCTAGTTAGGCCGCCTGGCTTGCCTGTGGTTGGTATGGGAGGGCTGGGGCTCGGACACAGCAGGTGGAGGGAAAAGGATTCATTTTGAGTGAACTTTTGGCCTTTCATTAAAGCTGGGGTTTATGGAGGGGTTGCACAGGTGTGGATTCAGGTTTGCATCTGGGCTCCCCCTCTTTCTGGGAAACCTTAGACGAGTTTCTTAACCTCTCCCACCCTCCTCAGTTTCCTCAGTGTGGAATGAAGCTACAGTAGTCCCTCCAAGACTCTCTATAAATCAGTCTGTTTAGATTTTATCTGCAGTCACAAAGACATGGTACAAAGCAATTAAAAATAGCCCCACAGAAGGCACTTCATCTTCCCCACTGCTTTCTCAGGCTGGCAGCGATCACGATCTCGTCTTTCATTGTGGCCGTTTTCATGTGAACAGGGGAAAACATGGGTTCTCCTTCCTTCTCAGGTTCTGAGGACACCTCAGCCTTTTATATACCAGGGGTAGTGTTAGCATATAGAACCAGCCAGAGTCTTAATTCTTTTGGTTAATGAGCTCTGTCTAAAGCAAACACCACGGCCCCCAAACCTGCATACATCTCTCATTTGTTTAACCAGCAAAGAAACATTTCAAAGAAACTGGTAATGTGTTCCAGACAAGCTGGGAGACAGGTTTCACTTCCTCGTGCAGTGGGGGACAGGAAAGATGATACCAGAAATAGGAATCCTCTAGCCTGGGTGAGTGGAAGAAAATCTTCAGTTTTGTTAAGAAGCCTTCTTGGGGCACCTGCAGAAGGCTTCCAGGCAGGACTCCCTTCTGAGGCCTGGGAATAGGCTGACTTGAGCACCCTGGTTCTTCAAAGGGAGACAATGTGTACCGCCATTTTACGCAGACGGCATTGGCAGGCTCCAGCACCTGGCTTTGAACTGATGCACCCTCTTCTGGACAGGAGGCGGCAGTGGCAGCCTGGACTGGCTGGAAGGGGCACTGGGAGCCCTTGCTGAAGCTAGAGCTGGCGTTGGGCACATCCACTGGGGATAGTTTTAACCAACAGGTGGATGGGTAGAAGTTTCTCAGTGAAATAAATTACAGTCCCCTCAACTTTCTAAAAATACCCGGAACTACTATCACTGGCTATCAGCTTAGGCACAGAGCCCAGTAATTACACTTTCGAGGATGGTTAAGCAGAGTCACAGGATATTTTCTAACTGCTGAGAATTGTGTGTGTTGGGTGCATCTGGGGCTGGGAAGTCCCCACAGGGTAGTGAGAGGTTTTGCAGGAGGATGAGGATGGTCCAAAGAGCCAAAAGCCCTGGAGAGGCTGCTGTGGAGCTATACTGGCTGAGATGGGGCTTCTTGTGGACCCCTGGGACAAGCTACTGTTTGGCCCCGGAATCCAGAACCAGAAGAAACAAGCATATGAAGTGATGTTTTTTGAGCGACGCCCGAAAACAATGGCAGTTTTGTAGTCCTGGAGCTTTAGACACAGTAGGATTTATTTTTCCCTTATATTGCCCACACTCCCAAAACACACACTATTTTTTAAGAGGTGGTGGTAGCAGACACCACTTGTCACGAAGTCCCCCATTGGTGTGGGGGCAGGGGCGGTGGGAAATGCTGATCTGGAAGAGAAAGCAGGCTGGTCAAGGGCAGGCCAAAGCCTGGGCCGGGCTGCCTCAGGATGGAGCTGCAGAGGGTATCCTTTTTGCTGGGGTGCTCAGAGGCTGGGCTGTGGAAGTTGAAATCCAGGCCAGAGATTTCTGGAAGTATAGACACAGGGGTCCCATATTAAAAGAAAAAAAGCATAGAGTGGCTTCAGCAACTGAAAACTAACCACACCTCCCCCTCCCCCACCCCTGGCAGAAAGCCCACTCAGCTCAGAATTGAATCGGGTGGTCTCCAAAGGGGTGGAGGTGGCTTGTCCTTTCTGTTGGCTGTTTTTCTTCCTGGTCTACAAGAACAGTCATTTGGACACTCAGGGAAAACCTCTGGGGAGCCCCAGTCCCCAAAGAACTGCATGTCCTGTAACACCAAAGCCAACCTGAAAAATTAATGTGATTTATTGCAGTGGACGAACTTTTCAGGGAAGCAAATATTGAACCAAATGACAAAGTGAAGTATGATGAATTCATCCACAAGATTACCCTTCCTGCAAGGGACTACTGAATGAGGACGAGCACAAGAGAGCCTTTCCTGGCCTGAAAACTCAGACTGATGAATTTTTAAAAAGAAAAGTGTTCCTTTCACTCCAGGGAGACGGCAGACCAGCAGCAATGTGACAGTACCCGACTGCTGCAGAGTAACAAGCAATGGAAATAATGTCAGCTCTGATATTAGCATGACTTTAATAAATGATTTGTATTGATTTTAAGAACTGCCATACAGCACTTTATAACATGGAAAGAGCCTGTGGTTTGGAGTCGGACCTGGGTTCTAGTCCTGGCTCTCTGTTTCCCATCCGTGTAACTAGGCACTCCATTTCACCCCTCAAGGCCTCAGGATCCTCACTAAAGTGGGATTCCTACCCCTCACCTCAGGGAGGAGCCTGGGTGGCACAGTGGTTAAGCGCTCAGCTGCTAACCAAAAGGTCAGTGGTTCAAACCCACCAGCTGCTCCAAGCGAGAAAGATGTGGCAGTCTGCTTCCATAAAGAGTTACAGCCTTGGAAACCCTATGGGGCAGTTCTGCTCTGTAGTCCTATAGGATCGCTAGTCGGAATCATCTTCCACGTTTCTGAGGGAAAAAAGCCAATCTCTAGCTGACAAATAGCAACAAGCAAAGAGCATTTAAAACAAAACAAAAACTTAAGGCAACATTTTCTTGCAGCACCACAGGGCCACTTACAAATTCTCATTTCCCTCTTGGCATACAGTGCAGGCTATTCATTCATAGATACAAAGCACAGAGTGGAAAGACTCACGTGAAGGTGAGGCCGCGTCTGCAGAGCAATGGGAAGAGTAAACTGACTTCACATCCTCTCACCAAAGGAAACCAGAGGATGCACCGTCTTGCATTCAGAGGCCTTGCAATCTTCTGAGGAGGCCTTTCTGACACTCCTGCTAGAACTCTGAGCTCTCTCCTGGGCTCTGTTATCAGACAGACTTTCAAGGGACTAGGATGGTTGACTCAAGTGGGGCAAATTGCTCATGGCCTCAAGTCCCTTCCCCAGGATGACTGAAAGGAGGTAAGGGGATGTATCAGGGCTGGCTGCAGTCATAGTTGAATCAAGAGACTTGGAAAACAGTCGTTGGGCACTGGTCCTTCCGGGATCCCCCCAGCTCAACTAGCTTTGAGTGAGTTATGCAGCCAGGAGGTATTGTGGGCTGGTGCTGCCTGAGCTTCAGAGCTGGCCACACATTGTCAGATTTGTAGTGTCAGCACCGCCTGAAAAGCACTAAAGTCACACGCCAGCATACAGGATGGAAGGGCGGGAGCCTGAAACAGAGATGTTCATCCTTAGATGTATCAAAATTTGACTCTCCGGGCTGTGGCTTTGTCTAATGGTGTCTTAGTGGCTAAAACATAAGAAAACCAAATCAAGGGTGTGCCTTCTGGGAGGTTATAGTTGCTGTTAGCTGCTGGTGAGTCGGTTCCCACTCATAGCGACTCTGTGTATGACAGAACGGAATGCTGCCTGGTCCTGCACCATCCTCACAATCGTTCCTATGTTTAAGCTCATTACTGCAGCCATTGAGGGTCTTGGAAGGTTATACAAATCTTTGCTAAGGGTCAGGCATAGTCTTAATGCAAATACCTCACCATGCTTTGTGGCACCAGACCTACTGAGGTCCTGAGAAAGGAGATCCTTTTATTTTCCCAGTGTCGTAATTGCCTATGGGAATGACTACGAATTCCCTGCAAAGAAGGGTTTTGGTGGGGGCAGGTAGTAAATGGCCCCAACACCAAGTGAAGTTGTGATCATCCATCTGGGAACGCCCAGGTCCCATGGTGCAGGGGCTGATCCAGGTTTTTCTGGGGCCTGAGGCTTATGTGACTTGGCAGCCTTCTTTAAGCATACAAAAATAGAAATGCAGAATTTCTAAGGCTGCTCCCAGGATCCTGGAAGAGGTCCGAGCAAGTGAGGAATCATGGTGGTTAAGCTTCATTACCTTCATGGTGAATCCGCCTGAGAGGTGGTTAGACTCTGGCACCTCATGTTGTTGTTGTTAGGGGTCATCAGTTCGGTTCTGACCCTGTATACAACAGAACGAACATTGCCTGGGCCTGAGCCATCCTCACAATCATTGCTACGTTTGAGCCCATTGTTGCAGCCATTCTGTAAGTCCATCTCATTGAGGGTCTTCTTATTTGCTAACCCTCTACTCTACCAAGCATGATGTCCTTCTCCAGGGACTGGTCCTTCCTGATAACATGTCCAAAGTATGTGAGACAAAGTCTGGCAATCCTTCCTTGTAAGGTGCATTCTGGCTGTACTTCTTCCAAGACAGATTTGTTCCTTCTTCTGGCAGTCCATAGTATATTCAATATTCTTCACAAACACCATAATTTAAAGGCATCAGTTCTTCAGTCTTCCTTATCTGTTGTCCAGCTTTCACATGCTTAGGCTGGGTTCTCTAGAGAAGCAAAACCAGTAAAGCGTATAGATATATATATAGAGAGCGAGCGACCTTTATATCAAGGCAACAGCTCATGATTGTAGAGGCTGGAATGTCCCAAGTCCGTGGATCAGGATAGAGGCTTCTCCCAATTCACATAGCCACAGGGGCTGGCAAACCCTAGATCTGCAGGTCAGAAAGCAGGGCTGTTGCTCACAGGCTGTGAAGATCAACGAATCCAAAGATCGGCAGATAAGCTGACAGCTGAAGTCCCAAGAACCAGAGGTCAGATGAACAGGAGGCAGCCACAGATCCACAGTGAGCAAAAAGCCAGAATGTCTGCTTATGTTTGGATACAGGCCACACCACCAAGGAAACTCCCTTTCAACTGATTGGCTGCTCAAAGTAGATGCTATCTTGGGTGTGATCACACATGAACACTGAGAATCATGGCCCAGCCAAGGTGACACACAATCTTAACCATCTCACATGCATATGGAGCGACTGAAAACAACATCGCTTGGGTCAGGCACACCTTAGTCCTCAAAGTGACATCTTTGCTTTTCAACACTTTAAAGAGGTCTTTTGCATCAGATTTGCCCAATGCAACATGTCATTTGGTTTCTTGACTGCTGTTTCCATGGGTGTTGATTGTGGATCCAAGTAACATGAAATTGTGAACAACTTCAGTATTTTCCCCATTTATCATGATGTTAACTTATTGCTCGTATGCAAGTTCAGGTTGAAGCTGAAGAAAATTTAAAAAAGTCCATAAGAGCCAAAGTACCACCTTGAGTACATCCCACCTGAATTTAGAGACCATTTCGAGAAGATTTGATGCACTGAACGCTAATGACGGAAAACGAGATGAGTTGTGGGATGACATCAAGGACATCATACATGAAGAAAGCAAAAGATCATTAAAAAGACAGGAAAGAGAGAAAAAAATCAAAATGGATGCCAGAAGAGACTCTGAAGCTTTCTCTTGAACATAAAGTAGCTCAAGTGAATGAAGGAAATGATGAAGTAAAAATGCTGAACAGAAGATTTCAAAGGGCGGCTTGAGAAGACAAAGTAAAGTAATATAATGAAATGTGCAAAGACCTGGAGTTAGAAAACCAAAAGGGAAGAACATACTTGGCATTTTTCAAGCTGAAAGAACTGAAGAAAAAATTCAAGCCTCGAGCTGCAATATTGAAGGATTCTGTGGGCAAAATATTGAATGACGCAGGAAGCATCAAAAGACGAATAGAGTCAATGTACCAAAAAGAACTGGTCAATGTTCAGCCGCTCAGGAGGTAGCATATGATCAAGAACAGATGGTACTGAAGAAGTCCAAACAGCAATGAAGGCAATGGCGAAAAACAAAGACTCTAGGAATTGACAGAATACCAATTGAGATGTTTCAACAAACGGATGCAACGCTGGAAGCGCTCCCTCTTCTATGCCAAGAAATTCGGGAAACAGCTACCTGGCCAGCCGACTGGAAGAGATCCATATTTACAGCCATACTAAAGCAAGGTGACCCAACAGAATGTGGAAATCATCCAACAGTATCATTGATATCACACACAATTTTGCTGAAGATAATTTAAAAACAGTTGCAGCAGTACATCAACAGGGAACTGCCAGAAATTCAAGCTGGACTCAGAAGAGGATGTGGAACTAGGGATATCATTGCTTACGTCAGACGGATCCTGACTGAAAGCAGAGAATACCAGAAAGATGTTTACCTGTGTTTTATTGACTACGCAAAGGCATTCAACTGCGTGGATCTTAACAAATTATGGATAACATCGCGAAGAATGGGAATTCCAGAATACTTAATTGTGCTCATGCGGAACCTGTACGTAGATCGAGGCAGTTGTTTCAACAGAACAAGGGGATGCTATGTGGTTTACAGTCAGGAAAGATGTGTATCAGGGTTGTATCCTTCCACCATACTTACTTGTATCTGTATGCTGGCACCTCATAGAGAACTTCTATTTCACCCTCAGGCAAGGCATGAGGGTCCTAGACCCATACTTTTTTTTTTAAACTCATCATGGACATTAGAAAGCAAATTCTGCACAGCTAATCTGGAAGACCAAGGATTAGAATGGTTTAGATGGCATAAAAAAAGGAAGTTCTGGGCTATAGTAATAAACAAGGGTCATTTCCCTCAAAGCATTTTTATACGTGTATTTATCATCGAATGGTATATTTATCATTGGGCATATGGTTTTAGAAACTCGTTGCTGTAAGTCGATTCCGACTTGTAGTGACACTGTAGGATAGAGTAGAGCTGCCCTATAGGGTTTTCAAGGCTGTGAATTTTTATGGAAGCAGGCTGCCACATCGTTCTCCCACGGAGTGGCTGGCGGGCTTGAACGAACCTTCCAGTTAGCAGCTGAGTGCTTAACCACTGTGCCACCAGGGCTTCCACAGTATAGTTAGAAGACAGGCTTTATTAATTTCACTTGCCTAAGAGGACGCTGAAGTACAGCTTGCCAAAAACACACAGCTGCTGTGGAGTGGTCCTTAGAGGCCGGGCTCCTATTCACTGAGGAATGTCTGTTCCCAACTGAAGCCTCTGCCCCAGGAAAGGCTGTCAGACTCCCCCTCTGTCCTTGTTTCACGTGCGTTCCTGAAATTCGATTTGGTTTATCTAGACTTTGTGTTGTTTACAAGAAAGGCCGTGGTGCTCTTGGCACTCAAATTGCAGATATTAAACAGATTGAAAACCAAACAGATGCTGTGGTTCACTACAAAACTAGCCATATTTCAGTCAGAAGGGGAAACGACTGCTGTTACATTTCTTACTTACCTCAAAGCGTATTGCAGGACAATCAGTTACTTGTCATGCTTTGAAATCTCTGGATGAAAGGTGTTTTGAAAGCTCAGGCATGATCACTTTTCTCACAGGGACTGTTGCCTTGTATACCCAGCAGTATATTTTACAGAAGACAAATTAACTGAAGGCTTTTCTTTTATTACATCTAAAGAGCTCTACATAAACAGGTAACATTCAATAGGTAAACAATTTTTTTTCCAATGCATGTAATAAATATTTTCACTTGGTACTTTTATACAAACTGACATTGGTCTACTATACATTTTTAAAAGCCATTTTACTGGTTTGGCATGCGATATGGAAATTCTAAGAGAGAAAGTTTTAAGGCAATGAATCACAGATTTTAAGTTTATGGAATTTATGGTAACTTTTATATCTGTTTATATACATAACAGCAGCACACTCTGGGACCACCAGCTATTCTTCCTCCCTCTTTTTGAAATCTAAGCTTTGTGTTTTATTAAAAAACAGAATTCAACATATATTGGTAAAACAAAATTCTTACTAAAATAATTTCAAATATGCTTTAAACTCTCAAAAATCTTGAAGTATTTTATGTATTTAAAACTGATTAAAAAAAACAAAACGCTTCCTACAGTTATTACTTTAAAATTGGGATACAATTTCAGTTTCAGACATCTGACTCAAAGGAAAATCTGCCAAGAAATCACATTTGTCAAAAGCTTAGGTGAATCCTTCCTAAGTCAGTAATGATACAGAATTGTGATAATGCCTAAATAGTAGAAAAATTTTAATGCTCAAAATAAATTAGTCAACCAAATACGGCATGGTTAAAGTTCAGATTGCTGTAAAAAGATGTGTCCAATAATGCCCACAAAGTAATTAAAAGCCACTTCAACCCTGCTACTCAAACAGCTGTTTTATCAAAGATGTGTGCACACACACCACACACACACAGTACTGTACAGAAACACATATACAAACATACGCACACTTATTATGAAAGACCAAGGCAAGGGGAATGGTGACAACTTGCCTAAAGATTCCAAGAATTGCTATTTGTCCACAGACAGCATGTCAATACTGGCAGGGGTGGGGACTGAGGATGGGGCAAGGAAAGAAGAGATGAAATGACTATGAGCTTTCTTTTTTTAATCAGAAAATAAAGATGCAGTGCATGACTCTACTAATAATTGTTACAGAAAAGTCACTGACTGATATCAACCATGAGACCAACAAAGTGATAAATACTAATAATACAACATTTTGGACAGTAGACAACTGAAAGAAACATCAACTCCTCACAGAATGGAATGAACTAAAATAAAAAGACAATTGAATGGTTAACTTCTCCCACGGAGACATGACGATAGCCACTGGACAGACATTTATTTCTCCCTATTACCTGTTCTTCACTTAGGTTGGTAAAATGCAGGAAACGAAGGGAAATTAACCCCCTCCAAAACTGGCTAAAGAAAGTAGAGGGAAGAGTTTTCAACTGGATCATTGAAAGAGTTTGTAATTCAGCATCACATACAGTTACTGATCAGAGTTTTGAGACCACTAACAACAGAAAAAGGAAAAAAAGAAAAAATTATTCATCTTACCTTAGGTAGCTGAAATAGAAATGTGTGTCCTAATGCAATGTGAAGAAGCAACTCCCTACAATTTAAGTAATTTCAACCTCAATCCAAATTTAAACACAAATTATGATACTATTAGATATTAACCTAAAGTAATATGCAGAAAGAATTCTTGAAGTGTTTATTCACCATAACACCAGATTCATTTAAAAAAAAGAAACTATTTCCTGTTTTAACTGACAATGAATCCATTTTTGTTTTTTGGTTTTTTTTTTTTTATTGCAAATTGTTTAGTGACTATAACTCAGCCATTTCTGTGTGGGATACACATGCACAGGGGAGACTACAGAACTCACTTGTCACTCACACATTGTCTATAAATACAGATACACACACACATATATACATATCAACACCAACTTTTTTTTGCCCAAAATTCAAGTCAACAATTTAGTGGCAGAGATGCTGTAAAAACAGACATTAGTTTTAGATGCCACACAGTCACGTGAACCATTGAGTTTAGCATACAACTGAAGATACAGCCATCGTGGATTCCACCTGGATTAAAGTGGGTCATTTTGTTACCAATGCAAGGTTTAAAAAGGCAAGTTTATACACAAAAAGTGGTCCTTCATCAACTCTGACAACAACTCGTTAGCATTAACAGTTGTGATATAAAAATCCGGTCTGGAAAATCGGCAATCATTATGCCCCTTTATCTTTTCTGTTAAACCTGCGCTCTCAAATCAACTATAAAAATACTTTCCACACCTGAGACTGTACTACCTTCTCTGATGAGGATTCTGGGACACAAACAGAACCACTTTTCCTTCCCTCCAGGCCTCACTCATCTCCTGAAAAACAGCTTTCAATATATTTACATGTTCCATTATTAATTAGATCAGACTGATCCATGAATTCTAAAAAATGACTTTCCTATGGCATGCTTATCTTTAAAAGATGAAGAAAAAACAAAGTAGACAGGCTCAGAAAATAAGTACACTCAGAACTACAGAGTAAAAATGACTAAGGATCAAACCCATTTTGAATTTCAACTGTATCAAAAAGCAGATTTCTAAGACTGACACGTGTGGTAGACTGTATTTTCAAAGCAGGATTTACTTTCAGGATAACTGACTGACTATCTTTTTTGATGTGATGTAACCTTATCTCTGTCAGCTGCACAAGACATGCAACAGGGCTTTCTAAACTACTTTTACTTCCTACTTTGGTACAAAGATCTTTCATGAAAACTTGTTACCCTGTGGCCAAAAAAGCAGGTGCTCACAGACTTTGCTTAAATACACAGTACTGGCACTCCAGATTTAGAATAAAGAACTAAAGTGTATTATTCACAGGTCTGCTAAGCCTACTCTTTAACTCTTACCCTGACAGCTTTACTCCATTATCTCTAAAACATGTTCTCAGGGAGTATAGCAAATAAGAGAGAATATGTGATGGTGAACATGCAGTTGGGATAGCTGGTAAAGATGCTTTACATGTGAGTTCAAGGCCTTCAAAGCACTTTGAAAGAAGCAGGCAACTGACATATCAACTGAATGCAAACTTGGGAAGAAAAGGAACAGTAATGACGAGAAAATACACACAGACCCACACACTGAACACACACCCCCACGAGCTATGTCCTGAAAATATACAGGGAATGCAGTGGGACAGATGAGAGTTATAACTTAAAGCTGGATAAAATATGCACACACACACAAATAGAATTCAACTCTGTCATTTTTAGCAAATGGAAATTAAACCTACCTCCCCCAACCCCTCCCCACAACAAAGAAAAGCCCACAATTTAAAACTTCATACATGCAGTTCCTCTTATGTTATTGCAAATAAAATAATGCCATTTGTCTGAAGTAAAATAAAACCAAAACCAGAGGACAAATGATGAAAATCTTCAGAATCCAGAAAAAAATAAACAGAAGGTGGTTTGTGGGTGCTTGTTTTTTTTCTTTCCTTTCCTTTTTTTTTTTTTTTTTTAAAACAAGTGTTTTATCAGACAGGCAGTCTTAGATTTATATACAAAAGTAAAACTGAAAATATAGTTTTGTTCTCTGTACAATTCTTTTAATTTTTTTCCCTAAAAAAAGGAAAAAAAGAAACACGCTTGTGTACTTCTCTAAACAGAATAAGGTCAAACAGAGCACAAAGTTCTTCTTTTTGCCAAGTCCATCCAATCCGGGGTGGGAACGGGAGCAGCAGGGCAGGGGCATCAGTCCAATGAAATGATGTCTGGTATGATGCCGAAGATGGACGCTGTGTCCGTGCTGCCCCGATTCGTCACCGTGTGGCTGTGGCTCTCCCTCAGGCTGTTGGAGGACACGAGGCTGCTGTTACTGCCACTACTGCTTCCGTTGGTGGTTGGCAGAGAAGCACTGCCTCCCGCACTTAACTGATCGAGAAACATCTGCGAGGAGGTATACGGAAAAAACCGAGACGAGTGTAAGAGGTCTTGATCATCTGAAACTGCTGCGGCAGCAGCGGCAAGGAGGGAGGTGTTGTAATGCTAGGGAAGGGAAATGAGACAAAAACAAATGTTAATTGTACTCATTTATAAGTATATAAACATACACTAATATATCTGGTGTTTCTGAGATGTTTAATAAGACATTGTGCAAACTCAAATGGCCTTATGTAATGATCTTTGATCTCGAGAGACTTTATGTATCTGAAGCTAGGAAGAAAAATCTGAAATAAAATTTTTATTGTTGTTTTAATTTGTATTGCAAACAAGCCTCAAAATTCTATTTCCAAAGAGGCATATGCTCGGAAGAAGCACGAAATATCTTCTCTTAAGGAGACATATGGCCAAGAAACCTATCAGTCAATATGACTCACTGCCCTGTTTCTTCATAAAGCAGTACTGGAAAGTGACAAAGAGACACTGTTCTTAGCATATACTCAGGCACAGCTGAAACAAAGGGATAAAGGGATTCTTCTTTCAATTCTTCAAAACATAACAACGAAGGGTAGGAACAAACTAAATTTTCCAAGGAAACTTATTTTCTTTCTCTCGGCTACGTATTAAGGAGCCCTGGTGGTGCAATGGTTAAGTGCTTGGCTGTTAACCAAAAGGTCGGCGGTTCAAACCCACCAGCCGCTCTGTGGGAAAAAAGACCTGGCAATCTGCTCCTGTAAAGATTACAGCCCAGAAAACTGTCTGGGGCAGTTCTACTCCGTCACATGGGGTGGCTATGAGCTGGAATCAACTTGATGGCACACAACACCACACTGAATTTTCCAAGGCAACTTCCTTTCTCTTGGTTACATATTATACTTTTAAATATTTTAATGTACAATTAAAATAAGAGTAATTTTTTTTCATATGGCATACCTGATTGTCTCCTGATAAGAAAGGAAAGAAATCTAATCCTGTAGGATAAAAAAATTATTTTAGTTTTGAAAAGCATACAAAGAAAAAAACCTCCCAATGCCCCAATACTTCAAAAACAAATAAAAATCTTAAATGCTGTATCATTAGAATTTTATTTAAACATGAAGAGGTGAGCTGAATAAGCTTTATGGTCTCCCATCTCTAGATTACCAAGGCTGACACCCGAGCTTTAGCAATCATTTCCCGTCCCCGTGCATTTGCAGGACTTGGGCCACTGCTGCCCTCTTAGATCTAACACCGATCCCCTAAACTGGCGTAGCACTTTCCATAAAGTGCTCTCAATGGCTCTTCTCAAGTAACCATTCAATCTACTCTAATTTACTCCCAGAAACACCTCACAGGTGTGTGATTATTTTTGGCCTCATTTTGCAGAGGAGAAAGGTTGAAGTTGAAAGAGGTTAAGCAAATTGTAGCACAGATTTTCTGTTTCCAATCGCTGTTTCTCAACTTTCCTCACTTGCTACCTCACCGGCACTTGCTACCAGACTCTAACTCAGAGACTCTCAGTGGCGCGAGGGGGGAAGAGACCTGAGGAGTGCCCGAGAGCTGGGATGGTGGGTATTACAGAAAGACCAGCCCTGGTTCCAGCTGCCAGGAATTCGCTGCAAGCACTCCTCTTCCAATCCACCTTCTTGTCCACAATACCCATGTGTAATGAACTGTAATGCGATGAAGTGCAAGTAAGCCAACATGAATAAAAGGCCTCATTATGATATCTAATCTTTGGGAAAAAGTACAACAAGCAGATGTAGGTAAAAATACGGCACCACCACATAGATTGTGAAAGATACGTTGTGTGGGGATCCATTCACTGTCAACACTAGAACAGATTACAATATGAGGACCCGCAAAATACACAACAGCACTGTGGTTCTTGATAGTGAGAGCTGGCAGTGGGCTAAGTGAGACACAGAGCTACACTACCCGACAGAGCAGCCACTAACCACCTGTGGCTATTTAAATTTATTAAGATTAACTAAAATTAAAAATTCAGTTCTGCAGTCACACTATCGACATACATGGCTAGTACTGGTCAGTATAGATTAATACATTTCCCTCATCACAGAAAGTTCCATTGGACAGTGCTGAAATAAGGTTTTCATAACAATCACTAAGAATTCACTCAACTTTCAGGCTCCATGTCCATCTGTCAGTGGCCCTGGAATCTTCTGTACAATCCCACAGCCTAAAGGGAGGAAACTTGACTGCTCTTTGCTGACCAGCCTCTATTTGTGAGGGCAGGTCTGGCCAATGGGACTAGTTAAGGAAGATCCACAGGCTTTCTAACCCACAGGGACATGGGTCTGGTGTTGCTGGGGTAGGGCCAGGGTTCACCCAGTAGGAAGTGAAGAGGCTAGGAAGGGAAGTCAGCACACAGGCTTGCTGGCCAGAGACCTATCTTTCTTACTGGTAAAAACAGATTAAAAATCGGTGTGTGTGTCTGTAGGTGGAGGAGAGAGAGGAAGAAAGAGAGTGACAAGGTCTAACATTAAAACAAGCACAAACGTCACTGAATTCATGAACAGCCTTTAAAGTAAAATACCTAGTAAGAAATAACAATGGAAATTCATGAGGCAAACAAAATACCTACACACTTGCCACACAAAGTTCCCATTTTGATTTAGTTGGCAGCTTGCAAAACCTTAAGAAAGAGCCTTTCTAGTTACCTGGTTCATCCGTGCCCCCCTCCAACTCCAGATCTTCTTAAAATATAGAACCCTAACTTTTCAGAGGGGAGTCATGCTCACTTTTACTTAAAGGATTTTACGTGATGACATATCTTTACTGAGAATAAGTCAACTGATGGCCAAACGATCCAAACAAACAATAACCAAATTATCTGCCTTGTTTTTAACCAAGATCATTAATTATAAATTCTAAGAAATGTTCTTGATATATATTAAATTAATAAAGCAAGCTGCAGGAAAAAAACACCTTTTCAAAAAAAACAAAAAAACCTTTGTGTGTATATTTCACACATGTAAAAAAAGGGTCTGGAAGGATATCTAACACACCGTGAAGTGTAGTTGTAAACTGTGAGGTGTACAAATGGGGAGAGGTGGATAGAAGCTTTCACTTTATTTGTTTTGCTTTTCTTCCTCACTTTGTTTTTGCATTGAATTTTCTACAATGTGCATATATGGCTTTCTGTACAAAAAATTTTCTTATATTATCTGGCTAATATACAAATTATTAAATTATAAAGATACATGAGAACAAGTAATAATTCTTTTTGATAATGCAAACGATTATTGTTAACTCAAAATATATTGTACAAATGAGAGCACTGACATTCCAAACTACTCTTCAAAAGAAGGATCAGGTTCACTGCAACAAAAATTTCAACTTTCAAATGTCTCAATTCTAAAAGATAATAATACAACAGAGTACCTACAATGTCTGCTGCATTATAACTGGAATCGGGGAAAAAATGAATGTTCATAAACATCAAAATTCAAAGCAACATACTGGAAGCCATCCAAAAACAACTTCCAGGGTACTTCGAAGCTCATAGAACCTAAAGATCACTGCACTAGGTTTACCACTGGTAGTGAAACACTGGCTACAGATGAAGGTGCCATCAAGGACCTCAGTCTGTATCTATGACCACAGTATAAATTTCCCCCAGTTCCTTGGGTCCAACCCCTTATATCCCCCCAATCTTTCAATTCTTCCTTAGACTCACCCAGAAGAGGGCTATATAGATCAAAGGCATTCATAATGCTCTGTGACAATACAAAAGAGTCGGTGACTCACCTTGTAAGTCATAAGGCATGGGTGTCATGTGGAAAGGATGCCTGTAGTCTTGGATGAGGGATGTGTTAATGTAGCTCGTGTCTACAGCAGGGAGGCTTGGGGTGCGGGACACTGGAGACGCTTGATGTGGAAGACTTAAAATGCTGTAAGAAGGAAAGGTTTGCACAATTTTCATGAGTCAGTCGAACTTCTAAGTTTAACAAACAAAACAGTGGCATTTATTTCACAAGTCCTAGCTTTCGTGCTGGAAAAACAAACAACAATAACAAAAAAAAAAAAAAAGAACAAAAACAAAAGACAAGCAGAGCAATGCATAATTTAAACTATCCACAATTATTAGGAAATAATTTGTATATGCTATAGTATTTTGCAGAGGTTATAGGCAAAAACGGATACAATGATATTCAACATTCACAAACTACTAGCTGTTTTTGGAACATCATCACCTACACTTTCAGAATGTAGGGGAAAGATATAGTTGAGTCATTTCAATCGGATGAGGTGAAAGGTATCTACAGCAGAGGAAATTCTGAAACCCTTTTAAATCAAGCACTGAAGTCCTGACAGGAGTCCCTGAGTGGTGCAAATGGTTAAATGCCTTGGAAGGAAGTCCTGGTGATCTGCTTCCAAAAGGTCACAGCCATGAAAACCCTATGAAGCACAGTTCTACTCTATGACACGGGGTCTTCATGAGATAGAATCCATTTCATGGAAACTGGTTTGGTTTTTTGGTTTGGAGTGTTGGCTACTGAAAAGTATAAGTAAACCCTAGCAAAGAAAACACATACGGACAAGACTAGGGGAATGTAGCAACCTAAGCAGTTAGGAGTTAACTGCTGGCCCACCAGACTTGTAAGCTTTATAAGAACAAAAACTGGATCGAGTTTATCTGGGTTATCTAAAGCTTAGCTCAGCCATCAGCACACTGTTTGCATAAAAAGGCTCACTGAATGAATGAGAGCAGGGAGACATGGAGAAGAAAAGCTCCAAAATGAATAGGTGATGGACAGTTTTAAAAGGGAGAACAGTACAACTGAAAAAAGAAAAAGAAAGAGGGACCTCTAAAATAAGAGAGTGAAGCGTTCAAGTAACCGAGTGTCAAAATCTATTTTTTTAACCAAAAACGAAGAAAAAAGCAAAACGAAGGAAAAAAGGAAGAAGCTAAATTATTTTTAAAAAGAAAGAAACTGAAAATAGTCCTGGATGGAAACATAAGGGTCATATTCTACCCCAACTATACAAGAGGCTATAGGCTATATTTCACAACAGACCTATATGTTTTATACAATAAAGACAAAGGAAGAAATAAAAAAGAGCCTGTCTTTTGTTTATAAAACCTCATTTAAAGTATTTGGGATGTGGGATGTAATCTCAACGGTACAGAATATTTCAAAAGACACCGAGGTTAGATTTCCAGAACAGAGCTCTAGCTCTGGCCATCTACTGTGTTTTTATGAATGGGATATGAAGCATAAAACACTCTCATCCGCCTCATAAAAAATGTTTCATCTAATGGAAACTTTAATTAAACCTCTTACATCTATAAAAAGTACCAGTTTCCATTAGCTGCTCCTCTGACAATGCCTAAGGGATTACAAGAAAGAAGAAAGCAGTTGAAATGCTAGTGTTTGAAAACATCTCAGTATACCAAACAGTATAGGAAATTTCTGGATGAAATACTGAACTAGAAGCACACTCAGTGACTAAAGATGGCAAAATGTTTTACATTTACTGGTGTTTGCTTCTTTCTGACTCCTAGATGGCACCTTTTCTTTCAATGTTGTGATGTCCTGAAATGCATTTCCATCTTTACACTGTACAATAAACAAAAACAGTATGCTGGGTTTATCTTTCCAGTTATTGACTAGTCATTACTGTACAATGGCCATGAGTATTGAGTACGACATTACCTTACTTCTAAAAATGACATACACTTTTCAGGTTTCCTGTTTTTTATCTGAAAGCAGAGAAAGAAAGGCCTGGCATTTGCAAACACTCTATCTGGGTTCAAGTAGTCCCTGGGAAGCTCAGGAAGTAGTTAATGCCACTAATGTCATTTTCCAAACATAATGAACATAGAGCTGTATTTGGAAAAACAGCAAAGTAAATATTCAAAGAAGAAATATTAGATTTCAAAACACTCAACCATTTCCTTTAAGGAAAAAAAGTCAGAAAAAAATACATAAACATTGCATAGTTTATATATATACATAAATTACTATTAGTATTATAAAGAGTAGAACTAACATGCATAATAATGCATCTAACCCATAAATTAAGTATTTATACACTCAGAAGTTTCTGAAACATCTTTTAACACTGCAATTACGGCATTAAAAAAAAATCAGATGACAATATGTATTTGGTCATACAATGATTTGATATTAAACACAAAATATCTTAGAATCAAAATTTTATAGTTGTTCTAATTATGTTAACTTTACATAATCTGGCTTTTTTTTGCTCCTACTCAAATTAATAAATTAAGTTGGTGTAATAACAAGGCCAGGCTTGCTGGGTAACAACCATCAAGGCAGGCTTTCACCAGAGGTGATGTTCAGAGAGCAGGATTTAAAGACGAATTAGTGTTTAAGCATTCATGTTGTTTAGAATAATACTGATTTTAAAATCTTCATTTCTGTTTTTCAAGAGTATGCTGAGATGAAGGAAACCCTGGTGGCACAGCGGTTAAGAGCTACGGCTGCTAACCAAAAGGCTGGCAGTTCAAATCCACCAGGCACTCCTTGGAAACCCTATGGGGCAGTTCTACTTTGTCCTATAGGGTCGCTATGAGTCGGAATCGATGACGGCAACAAGTTTGGTTTTTTTGGTTTATGTTGAGATGAGCTACTCTAGAATAAAAATATCAACTTTTATAATGACTGATTATATTATGTAGATTACTGAAATGGTCAATGTCCTGACAAGTGAGAAACTACATCTATCGGAACTGTGCTATTTTATTGCTGCAATTTTATCTTTCAAGTAACTACAAACATATTCAAATAGAAGATCTTTTAATCTCATTATACAATATCAAAACTGAAAATGATTTGGCTCCAACAGCAGGGAAATGCCTGCTCTTGGTCTGATGTCAACTTTGCCTCCTGAACCTGGAACTCTGTAACAATGCCATCCATGGGCTTGTCTTCTCAGCCTTAAGTACATTCTATCCTCAGGCACTACTGTCAGTCAGAAAATTTTCTGAACGGCTCTTATTCAGTTACAACAGGCCATGTGATCTTACTGATAACACACCTAAAGAGGGGCACATCTATTTCTAGATTTACCCTGGTATTCCCAATTGTGCTAAACTGTGCCACAGCAGAACATGAACTCTTTGCTGAGAACCCCTGATGTGTCTCATGGGACTAACAGCCTGCTTTAGAGTATGGCTAGAGTTATACACTTGTTACAGTACACCTACAAGGTGCTAAGCTCCTTAAGGTTAGGACTGTACTTGCTCATTTTATCATCATCCATAACTAGCACAGGGAGTTTTACACACACTAAATACTAGTGTTTCTTGAACTGAAGCATAACCAAGCATTATTACTGATGTGATACTAACAGAAAATATGGGAAACAAGTCTGCAAATAGAAAGTATTGTGCATTGTAACCAAAGTCATCTCTGACCTCCTTCATTTCCATCCTCATACAGATCCAGAGGCAGACTGAAAGCATTCATCTGATGTTCTGCTTTCCGCGAGAAAAACTCAACACAGGGTTGATTTTACAGTATACATTGTCCAGTTTGAGTAAATGCTCTAAATCCTATATGCAGCACCAGGATCGCCTGGGAACTTACTAGAAATACAAATTTTCTCAGTCACTACTCCTGCATCAGAAGAGGGGGAGGGAGGAGTGATGTATGTTTTAATAAACACGCCAGGTAATTCTGATGCACACCAAAGCTGGAGTACCAGAGTCATCTTTTGGTATGACGAACACTGTACCCAAATGACCCCTTTAATGCATTATCCCAATCCCTCAAGAATGTCTGGGAAAAATCCACCTATACTTTGATTGCGAAGTTAGGTTTCACAATCATGAATAATCAGTTTATTTGGCAGGTCTTTTAATCTCTATTGCCAAATTAACTTGCACAACTTTTTGTTTCCCCCTTCAGTCTCAGCACTTACCCTTTATTATTGAGTGGTGACGTGGGAGATAGGGAAGGACAGGTCCTCTTGGCAGACGGCTCTTCTTCCTCTTCATCAGATGAACTATCTATGGTTAGGTCAATCACCTCTACTTTCTTATTTTTGTTTGAGGACTGGTGGTGAGAAGCCACCTGATGCTCCAACGTGGAGCTCAAGCATCCTGCATGGGCGTGATTAAAACACAAGGCAAAGAACACCTATGACTTCACTTCTTCTCTCAGTGTCCCTATGGATTAATTCATCAGTTACAGCTTTGACTCACAATATTGCTAGGGCCAGAGACTAAAGAAATTAAAATTGGCTCTGTTCCCCTAAGCTTAATTAAAACTACTATTTGGTTATCGTCTGTTAAAGGATTTTTTTTGAAAAATCATTTTGAATGAGAGCAAACAATCAAAATGTAAGTCTTAAGTCCCCCTCAGAATAAAAGCAATTTGAAAGTGGAGACTGTATATTACATACGTTTATCTGGACAGTACCTGACATACTTAAGAAATACTATGGTAACATTTTTAAAAAGCCTTAGCCTCCTTTCAGCAAAAACATACTAAAAGCCAGGGGAAAAAATGCAAACGAAAAAGGAATGTTCACTATTCAGTATCAACTCTATTAAAAATTTAAAAGGATACCATTTCAAAAGCATGACTTTACAAATGACTTGTTAGATTATGCTACTTCGAAATCAGAAAATATCTAAAGCTGGCAAAAAAGTGAATTTAAAAGGAGTCCTACTACTTCTGAATATTTAATCAATGATTCAGTAAGTGTTACTGAGGTATTCATGAATTGCTCAGTGTTTTTAAAAACTTTATGCATTTTAATATTAAAAAGCAAAGCTTTACAACATCAGGGAAATTGCACCATCCTTCTGGAAAAGTAACACTCACCATCAACTCCATTGTAAGAGGCAGAAACTTCCTGTACTTCCTTTTTCGATCTCATAGGTGCCCAAGAGCCGTCCTCCTTAAACTGTATTTCATCACAATCTGTACAGTATTTTAGGATTTCCATAAACAAGCTATAAAAAATGATTTGTCCTTTGAATATCACATTTTAAATGAAAAAAGTTAGAATTATTACTGTTCATAATTTGTTCAAAAATATGTTCACCAAAATATGAAAGCCTTCATACTTTCTATGTTTTGTACAAATATACATGAGGAACAATAAAGTAGAATAGACAAGTGATATTTATTCTCAAAATTTAATGCTGACTAGGAAAATAGTTATAGTACATTTATATAGTATTATGTGGTCATGAAAAATGAGGGTTTCAAAGATTATAGATATTTTTCTTATTTATACCTTTTTTCATATTCCAGATTATTTACTAGTACGTCTTACTTTATAAACTGAAGTAATAGATATAAAAAATGTCAATCAAATGTTAAGTATCCTTGATTTCACGTAAACACTAAAAACCGGTATTTGCAAAGATTGTATAAAATTAATAGTAAAATTCTTGGGATATAATGTTAAATTAAACCAAAGGATAAAAATTATGAATAGTATATAATCACAATTATGTAAAAACAAAGCCCAGAAAATTCAACACAATTTTTCCTTTGTTGCTGTTGTTAGCCGCTGTCAAGTCGACTCTGCCTCGTGAGGACCCCGGGCGTGCGGAGCAGAACTACCCCATCGGGTTTTCAAGGCTGGGACCCTTCCGAAGCAGGTCACCAGGCCTGTCTTCTGAGGTGCCTCTGAGTAGTCTGAAAAGCCAACCTTTTGGCTAGTAGAAAAGTGCTTAAAAGGATCAATTTTTCTGCGCGCGCGCGCGCGCACACACACACACACACACACACACACACACACACACACACCCCTATTGTGTGTCATCTATTATTAATTAAAGAAACATATTTGCTTTAAATCACTTTGTAAGCTAGTAGGAGACTTGCCCAAACCTCTGCCCAGTCACTCTTCTATGCTCGCACAGTATCAGGCAGCCTCTCAATTCCCTCACACATCTTTTATAACAAGAAAAAAATCCCTATCAGGGGGAATCTAAAGCTATATACAGAGTTGGTAAAATATTACTATTCAGTTCAGATTTATTCGTGATCACTGTCATCACTGAAAAATTAAACATAGAGAATTTAAGTTATGTGTTTATTTCTTGGATGAGAATTTTGACATCTTCTAAATTGTGGACCATACTTGCATTGCTAAATATATTCCATTTCTTGTACTGCACCTACAGACTCCTGTTTTCTCTAATATTACACCTAAGTTGCCTTCAATGTTTTACTAGAGAATACAGGAAATATTAAGTAGATCCTCCTTATCACAATTTGTTACCTTTGTTCAGTGTCAAAAAGGAGGCTAAAGAGTAGGGGGAAATTTACAGGAACATTCCATGATGTCTGATAGGATAGAAAAACCACAGGAGTATTAAAAAAATAAGCAATTATTGTGATGCTGTAGATGGACAAGAAAGAAAAAGACCAGTATGTCTTCAGAGGAAATAAAAAAACAAAGTAAGCTGCCATTCACTCTTCTGATCAGTCTCAGGAGCCCTTACAGTGGAAGAATAGGTAGGATGGGCCAGGACTACAGCTCAATCTAATCTGAGAAACAGGCTAACTTCCATTAAAGAAGCCCAATTTCTGATGAGCTTAAGTTAACCATAGTTTCACAATTCTTTCATTCTTCCTCCAATATATTCTGTATGTCTGGGGATAGATGGACTCATGTTAGGAAAAGGAGTTAAGTATACTCTCACTTAGAACCACTGGTGCTTTAAACATTAGAAGGTACTAACAGTGAAGTATGCATCTGCAAAACGAGAGACATCGAGTTAAAAAGTGAAAAAATACTCACAGGTTACTTAACTTTGAAAATACTGATTTCTAGAATCACGAGAATTCTAAAAATACATAACTTAGAAAATAGTACTAATATTTTTATATCAAACCTGATGGGTAATAAACCCAGATAACAGATGGTCATTTCAAGGTACAAGGAAATACTTTAAAGTGACATACCCATCAATAATAAGGTGTTCATACGGAGCCTTCTTATCACAGACAGGACAAACCCAGGTTGGTTTTTTCTCATTCATCTGAATATAAAGAGTTGCATCAAAACACTGCAGATGAGAACATGTAAGGGCCCGACATGGAATTGTCAGCCGCATTTTACCAAGCTTTAAAAGAGGGGAAGAAAAGTAAATATTAGACAATTGTTAACAAAAATTTAAACTTTGGTCAAAATTTCCTGAAACACAATGTGCGTATGTTCTGCTTTGAAGTATACTGTTTACTTTGCATCAATGTGGAAGAACATTAAGCACACATTCTGTGAAACACAACTACAGGTTTAAAAACTACAGCATTTCTTTGGATATTAAACATGACAACTCTGGAAAGTCTACATTAGGGTTATTTACTCTAATCCACAACTCACAGAATTTCTTTTTGGAGGGAGCTCCTTGAAATTCTATATAAAATTTTGTCAGTGTGTGCATTTTTCTGGATATATTGCTTTCACCAAATTCTTAGAGCAATCCCTGATCCAAAAAAGTTAGGAGCCACTTAACCAGGGATTAGGGAAAGGAAAAAAGGAATGTCTTATTAAATATTTCTTTTCTCACTAGGCACCATCACAGGCAACTTAGCAAACATCCCTGGACCTCTAGCATCTCTAGCTTGTTACGGGACTTTCCTGTCTTGCCCTGCAAATGTTGTCCAAGCTGAAAAGGTTGAGTCTATCCTGTTGTTATTGTGTGCTGTCGAGTTGATTCCAACTCATAGCAACCCTAAAGAACAGAGCAGAGCTGCCCATAGGGTTTCCTAGGTTAAAATCTTTATGGGAGTGGATTGCCAGGTCTTTCCTCTCATGGAGTGGCTAGTGGGTTCGAACCGCCGACCTTCCAGTTAGCAGCCATTGCACCAGCAGGTGTATCCTATGAGTGATGCACACCCCTTCTTTGGGTCCTTGTGCTGCTAGCCTTGGCCCACTAAGGCAGATAAGCTGCCAAGAGGTCTGCACAGGGAGCTGCCATACCACAACCCTTGCCCTGGAGGACACCTCGTAACAGGACAGCAAGATGACCACTGTGGTGACCTCACAGTCCACACTGGCTTATAGCATACAAGTTATTTGCTTTCAATTATCACATTATTTGCTAAATATCAGGAAAAGATTTTCTACATGTTTGCCAGCTTGAAAAACAAAGGCTCAAAAAGGATGTGAGTTAAATAAGGACAAAAAGAGGAAAAAATTCTTGGCCTAGAAGAATTTTAGGGAAACGTGCAACTTCCTACTCTACTAAGGAACTCAACTGTCATTTACAGCCTTAAATTATTGTTCTGGTACCAATGATTTACTGTGCCTCTAGGAAAGGCACTTAACTTTTCCGGGCCTCTTTTTCTATCTCTAAAGTAACACTGTTTCCTCCTCCTGACTTTAACCGGACATAGGAATGAAGAATAAGAAAGGACTCCCAAAGTGTTATAAACACTTATGAGAAGGAACTGATGCCAGTTTACAGTATTATAAGTATGGACAAGAGGGACCTCCCAGACAGAATGAATAGCTCCTTTCTCCATGCTCCCACCTCTACCCCTGCATAGGATAGCATTTCTTACACTATTTATTGATGTGTGTGTATACTAGAAATGTATCACACTCATCTCCTTCCCTCAGCACGTACAAAGGTACCTGCTATATAGCAGGAAGATGGTCTCGTGTACCAACAAGACTTCGGTTATGCACACTGAATGATCTAAAAAGCACCATTTTACAGAGGGTGTGCAGGTCATATACAGCACTTTACAAGGTAACCAAGTTGAGTTCTGGACTTAGACTACTGTCAGGGACTGAACTGCATCCCCCCAAAATTGTGTGTATCAACTTGGCTAGGTCATAATTCCCAGTACAGTATGACTGTACAATCTGATATGATTTCCTTATGTGTTGTAAATTTAATCACTATGATCTAATAAAATGGATTAGCGGCAGTTATACTGAAAAGGCATACAACATTGGATAGTGTCTTAAGTCAATCTCTTTTGAGATATAAAAGAGAGAAGAGAGCAGAGACACATGGGAACCTCATACCACCAAGAAAGCAGTGCTGGGAGCAGAGCACATCCTTTAGACCTGAGGTTCCTGTGCAGAGATTCTCCCAGACCAAGGGAAGACTGATGCATCACAAGGACCTTTCTCCAGAGCTGATACAGAAAGCCTTTCCCTGGATGTGATGCCCTGAATTTGGATTTATAGCCTACTGGACTGTGAGAGAATAAACTTCTCTTTGTTAAAGCCATCCACTTGTGGTATTTCTGTTACAGCAGCACTAGATGACTAAGACAACTATCTAGGTTTAAATCCCGGCTCCATTACTTACTGACTCTGTAAATCCTGAATGTTAGTCACTCCGAGACTCGGTTTTGTGAAATGGGGGCAAAACTAGCACCTACATCATAGAATGATGGGGATTAAATTATATACATGCTTGCTGTACAGTGCCTGACACCTATTGTGTGTCATCTATTATTAATTAAAGAAACATATTTGCTTTAAATCACTTTGTAAGCTAGTAGGAGACTTGCCCAAACCTCTGCCCAGTCACTCTTCTATGCTCGCACAGTATCAGGCAGCCTCTCAATTCCCTCACACATCTCTATTTAATTTTTATAATTTATATATGTTCCTGATGAAAAGCTCCCCCCACCCCCCACAAAAAAAAAAAACAATCATTTGTGTACCAGAAAAATCCCCCTAGGTACCATTAGTCAGGACACACTATGTTAGTCCAGAAATATTTTCCAAGTAACAATCTGGTTGCTGGTACAAAATTTTTATATCTTAAGTCAGACCTTAACTTACCTGTAAAGTGCAAATTCCTACTGAGGAGTATTTTTGCTATTGCCCTAATACTAAATAGAGGAAACATGGGCTAAAAGTTCTAGACAAATACGGTAACAGCACAAAAGGTTCATGCACTGCAGAACTAGTAGGCTATTTCTAATGGTTTATGAGGACAGTGGCTAGGAAGAAAGAAAGATTATCTCAGAATCTAAGCCATAGGCTGTAGAACTTACACTCTGAAAAGCAGTAAATTCCCCAAATGCCTTCAGTTCACATACTTTTAACCTCATAATTTACAGTTGTCAGTTCATATCTTTTTGGCAAGGGAGCAACTCTCACACCCTTACGATCAGCCACACTGACAAGCTGACCTACAGAGCTGTTAAGGAATACTGAAACATGAATGGCACAGAAAGGACATTTACAAATGGATACATGGAGGCAAAAGTTTGCTTTCAAATGCACTGTTTATTAGCTGTCACACACACATGCCTCCTTTCAAAGAGCCACAAATTAACTATCATGTGATAATCCTCCTCATATTCTCGATTTTTAAAAAATCACTAAATTCTAAATATTTACCTGACAAATGGATAGTGATTTTCTCTAACTTGGTATCAGAAGAGAAGCTGACTTTTGAACATCTTCATCTTGTAACTACAAATCCCACCTCTACCTTTATAGGATGTGATGGATATCTGCATCATTTCCAAATAAATACTTTGAAAACAACTCCCAAACATGTTTTCTAATGCTACTAACCTTACTACTATAGTACATTTGAGCTGTATTAACTGATAATGTTGCAAGACAGAGGAAACATCCCAGAGATAAGTTTAAACCAGTTTATATCAAAAGGATCCTTAAAAAGTCAATAAAGTATGTATTTTTTACCTTGTAAGAAGAAAGGAAGAGAAGTGTGATATTAAGAATCACTTCACAGCTATTTCATAACAATATAAATATTTCATAAATATCCAAACTGCCCCCCGCCCCCACCGACTCTAAGTCATTTTTATTTGCATTTGCAGGCCTGTGAGAATCTCACAAAGCGGTCTCTCAAAGATCCTTTCTGGTTCTACTTTCAATAAATCAGAACCAAAAAATTCCCACCTAAGAGCAAAAACATTTTAAATTATTTTTTGCCTTTAGCTAATGGCACAGAAACTCATTTATTTTGAGATTTGTACATCTCAACAAGGACAAGTGCATAGTGTGACATCTTATTTACATATTTTCAAGGGAATCTTTTAAATAATTCTATAAATTTGATATATAGATGAGTTGTCACTAGTAAATTTTACTTTTGAGTAAAAACATACCTAAAATACATGGCCCCACTGTTCCAGGGTAACTGTAAAGGGACTGTCCCTTTAGCCAAAGAGAAACCCATCAAATTATTACAGATTTTATATACATATAGCTGTTTTTTTTCTATAATGTGAATCTTGAAAGCAGATGTCAATTTAAAATAAACTGCTAAAACTGTTGGACGAAAAAAGGAGGAGCAAGGAGACATAGGAAGAAAAATTAAAAGCTGATTCACTAAATTAGGAAGTTCAAAGAGCAAAGTATGATCAACTTTTTCTAATAATATAGAGAATAACATGTGGACTTTAAAATTTAAGACTAGTTCCACAAATAAAAATTTCCAGTATTTATACTGGAGTGTTTATTTATATGAATAAATGCTTCCTGTGAATGTTAAATATAAACATTATATATACTAGCACAACTCTAAGTACTTTTAAAATGGGACTGAAGAAAAACAAGACTTCTTCCAGTGATTTAAATGGAAGACAAAAGCTTATACACTTGTCTAAATTTATCATATTCTCTAAATTGCTGTTTCATAAAGAAACAGGGTACCAAAGAACTGTGTGTGCGTGCGTGTGTTTGGGGGGAGATAAATCAGGATTGGGGGGAAAATGGTGGGATAAGTATATATTTTTGTAAAAAACCTTAGTCTTCCCACCCTCCACTTCCTGATCTATAAATCACTTTCTAAATGTTACAAAGTACCAGTTTCCTTTACAACACAGAATGTCCTTTAACATTTATCTGGTTACTTAATTAAATAATCTTTAATTATAGAAGGCCTGGCGCTAAAATATTTTCCCTAAGGAAAAGAATGGCTATACAGAGAAAACATACAGGAAGAATAAAAGAATATGATAGGATTTGGTGGTTTATATTAACTTATTTATTTTTTTCTATAACTTCCAAAAGTTTTATAATAAACAGGAATTATCTTAGTTATTACCAAAAAAAAAAAAAAATGCGAGGTGGGTCGGTGTATTTGTTTTTAAAGAGCTATGTAAACTATAGTATTAGAAACAAATTCAAGAGCTAATGACTTCTTCGTATTGTGTTTAAAGTTTTACAAACTATGAAAGACTAGGATGTAGGATAAATAACACATTTAATTTCTGTTTAAATTCTTTGTTTCTTTCAGATTATAGTAACTTCATCTCAGATAAACAGGACTTCAGTATTGAAAGCCTTCAATATTAGACCTGAACAATCCAGTTAATCAGGAAACAGATGTGCCCTCTCATTCTTCAAATTTCCCCCAATTTAGACATGATTAATTTGATTAATTATAGAACAAAAGGTAATCAAAATGTTGAAGTACTTTACTATTTACTTTTCACATATTTCTGTATGAAAGCCATATTCAACCATCACCTCTACTATTGGTAGATCTAATACCAAACTAGTCAAGAAATAAACCTCAAGAGAATATTGTTTTAAGGCCTTTTTACTGTAAGTGTAATAATTTTGTAAGTCTTGAAGCCTTATATTTATTTCATAAAAGTGATTGATTCTGACCTCATTTTCTGCTTTAAAAATATTTCTAGGCTATTTTTGTATGCAAAACAAACTCAATTATTCAAGTTGAACAGAATAGTTTTTATCTAATAGATTCTTATAACGCAGACAATGTGGGCAAAATGGTTAAATTGAATGTGTGGGTAATCATGGCCAGATTTTTATTCTGAAGGATGTTTTTTTAAAAGATCAAACACACAGAGTTAATAAATATTCCTTATTTTGAGATTTTACACTTGAGCAGGATAGTCATTATTCACAGGCAATATTTAGATATGTCTTACTAAGGGTAGAAAATTTTAATAGACTTGTATGGATTCTAAACCCTATGTCTAGATAATAATGTCCACTTTCACAAACTATGAGAAAGGTGGGCAGATTTTAAAAGTAAACAGATTTTCTCAAATACCGGAAATAACCTAATAATAATAAGAAATTCATGCCAAACCTTCTGGAAAACAAGTATTATTTAACACTTACTGGACATAGCAGAGAAACCCTTAGGCTGGTTGTAGCTATTTCACTGTCTGGATCCGCAGTCAATTTCTCTTTAACTGACCATCGTTGAAGAAAAAAGAAATAAACAGAAAAAGTTTATTGAAGATACATCACTAATATAACATTAAAAAAATGAGGAACTTAAAATGAGAAATCGTAAGAAAAAACTAAAAGACAATTTGCTCAATTATTTTCCAATCAATTGAATAGATGAATAAAAACAATTATATGGTCTATACATTCTACAATAAGCAAAGGAAGAGAAACAATTGTATATCTGTGGGTTGACTACATTTCCTGTAAGCTTCCCATTTCTCACCCACGGAACAAAAAACTGCATTGCAGTAACAGAAAGGAAATTTCTACAGCAGGTTGACATATTCAACTGATGGCAGGCTCCCCCGGCCCCCATTTTTTTTTTTTTTTAATTCTAAGATACTAGATAAAAACATTCTTTATTTTAAACTGTGACGAATATTATTTTGGCTCTTCTATTTTAAATGAAATTAATAAGCAGCAACTATAAAATAGCACTTATAAATTTTTCAAAGTCCAGGTAATAAGATATTTACTGTAAAACATATTAATTCTAATTTCAAATTATAAAAAGAAAAAAAGTTAAATTGCTTTTCTTCCCCCATATAATTATTTGCTGATGTGGCACGACTCAAAATGAGAAGAAACAGCTGCAAACATCCACTAATAATTGGAATATGGGATGTACGAAGTATGAATCTAGGAAAATTGGAAGTCGTCAAAAATGAAATGGAACACACAAACATCGATATCCTAGGCATTACTGAGCTGAAATGGACTGGTATTGGCCATTTTGAATCGGACAATCATATGGTTTACTAGGCTGGGAATGACAAATTGAAGAGGAATGGCGTCACATTCATCATCAAAATGAACATTTCAAGGATCTATCCTGAAGTACAACGCTGTCACTGACAGGATAATATCCACATGCCTACAAGGAAGACCAGTTAATAAGACTATTATTCAAATTTCCGCATCAACCACTAAGGCCAAAGATGAAGAAACTGAAGATTTTTACCAACTTCTGCAGTCTGAAACTGATCAAACATGCAATCAAGATGCATTGATAATTACTGGTGATTGAAATGCAAAAGTTGGAATAGAAGAAGGATCTATAGTTGGAAAATATGGCCTTGGTGATAGGAATGATGTCAGAGATCATATGATAGAATTCTGTAAGACTAACAACTTCTTCATTGCAAATATCTTTTTTCAACAACATAAACAGTGACTATAATGTGGACCTCACCAGATGGAATACACAGGAATCAAATCAACCACATCTGTGGAAAGAGATGATGGAAAAGCTCAGTATCATCAGTCAGAACAAGGCCAGGGGCCAACTGCAGAACAGACCATCAAATTACGCACATGCAAGTTCAAGATGAATCCGAAGAAAATTAAAACAAGTCCACGACAGTCAAAGCACAACCCTGAGTATATCCCACCTGAATGTAGAGATCACCTCAAAAACAGATTTGATGCACTAATACTAATGACCGAAGACCAGATGACTTGTGGAATGACATCAAGGACATCATATGTGAAGAAAGCAAGAGGTCATTAAAAAGATAGGAAAGAAACAAAAGACCAAAATGGATGTCAGAAGAGACTCTGAAACTTGCTCTTGAATGTAGAGCAACTAAAACAAATGGAAGAAATGGTGAAGTAAAGGAACTGAACAGAAGATTTCAAAGGGCTCGAGAAGACAAAGTAAAGTATTATAACGACATGTGCAAAGACCTGGAATCAGAAAACCAAAAGGGAACAACACACCGGGCATTTCTCAAGCTGAAAGAACTGAAGAAAAAAGTCAAGCCTCGAGTTGCAATACTGAAGGATTCTATGGGGAAAATACTAAACGATGCAGGAAGCAACAAAAGAAGATGGGAGGAATACAAAGAGTCACTGTACCAAAAACAACTGGTTGACATTCAATCATTTCAGAAGGTAACATATGATGAAGAACTGATGGTACTGAAGGAAGAACTCCAAGCTGCACTGAAGGCACTGGCATAAAACAAGGCTCCAGGAACTGAGGGAATACCAACTGAGATGTTTCAACAAACGGATGCAGTGCTGGAAGTGCTCACTGGTCTATGCCAAGAAATTTGGAACACAGCTACCTGGCCAGCTGACTGGAAGAGATCCATATCTGTGCCCATTCCAAACAAAGGTGATCCAATAGAATGCGGAAATTATCAAACATATCATTAACATCACACACAAGTGAAATTTTGCTGGAGATTATTCAAAAGCGGTTGCAGCAGTACATCGATAGGGAACTGACAAGAAATTCAAGGAGGTTTCAGGAGAGGATGTGGAACAAGGGATATCATTGCTGACGTCAGACGGATGTTGGCTGAAAGTAGGGAATACCAAAAAGATGTTTACCTGTGTTTTATTGACTATGCAAAGGCATTGGACTGTGTGGATCCTACTAAATTATGGACAACATTGTGAAGAACAGGAATTCCAGAATACTTAATTGTGCTCATAAGAAACCTGTACATGGACCAAAAGGCAGTCATCTGAACAGAACAAGAGGATGCAGCGTGGTTTAAAGCCAGGAAAGGTGTGCGTCAGGGTTGTATCCTCTCACCCTACTTGTTCAACATGTATGCTGAGCAAATAATCTGAGAAGCTGAACTACTTGAGGAAGAACATGACATCAGGATTGGAGGATGATTCATTAACAACGTGTGATATGCAGATGACACAACCTTGCTGAAAGTGAAGACTTGAAGCACTTACTGATGAAGATCAAAGACCACAGCCTTCAGTATGGGTTTCACCTCAACATAAAGAAAACAAAAATCCTCATAACTGGATCAATACGCAACATCATGATAAACTGAGAAAAGACTGAAGTCAAGGATTTCATTTTACTTGGATCCACAATCAATGCCCACAGAAGCAGCAGTTAAGAAATCAAACAATGTATTGCACTGGGCAAATCTGCTGCAAAAGACCTTTTTCAAGTGTTAAGAAGCAAAGATGTCACCTTGAAAACTAAGGTGTGCCTGACCCAAGCCATAGTATTTTCAATTGCCTCATATGAATGTGAAACCTGGACAATGAATAAGGAAAACCAAAGAATTGTTGCCTTTGAATTACGGTGTTGGCGAAGAATACTGAGTATACCATGGACTGCCAGAAGAATGAACAAATCTGTCTTGGAAAAAGTACAGCCAGAGTGTTCCTTAGAAGCAAGGATGGAGAGACTTCGTCTCACTTACTTTGGACATGTTATCAGGAGGGACCAGTCCCTGGAGAAGGACATCATGCTTGGTAAAGTAGAGGGTTAGCAAAAAAGAGGAAGACTCTCAATGAGATGGATTGGCACAGTGGCTACAACAATGGGCTCAAGCATAACAATGACTGTGAGGATGGTGCAGGACTGGGCAGTGTTTCGTCTGTTTTATGTGGGGTCACTATGAGTTGGAATCAACTTGACGGCACCTAACAACAAGAACAACTATTTGAGTTCTACATTTATTTACCTATAAACTAACAGTGTTATCTTGAGCAAGGCAATCCACCTCTCTGAGCTTAATTTCACTTACAGTAAAATAGAAATTCATACTAGATAATCTGTCTTTTCAGTTTCAACTTCTTATGGTTCCTAAGAGAGAAGGCATTAGCAATTTTATCTTTTAATGACTGTTCCATTACTCTCCTTCAGTCTAATATAACGAGGCCATTTATACCCCTCATTTGGAAACCTGAAAACCTCCATCCACAAAACATTATAAGACTGGAAATGCCTAAATGTAATAGTCCAATACTTTCAGAGAGTACTCCACAATTACTTTAAAGTCTATATTGTATAGGGGGCCCCAGTAAAGTGGTTGTGTACATAATGAATCATGGAATTTCAGAGGTGTGGCACAACTAAGTGTGACCAGATAGGTAACATACAGTAGAAAGCAGAAAACTGGAAGAGAGAAAAGTACTGATAAGAAAGAATGATTTCAGTTAGATGTCTGTTGTGCTGATAACCATTCATGAAAATTAAGAATTGTGCCTTTAATGAATATGGGGACCATACTGCTGAAATTTCTGAGATGGTCCAGATCTTGATCTTCTAGCCAATTGCTTCCATAAATCAGTGGTTCTCATCTAAGGTGCATATCAGAATTACCCCACAGAGCTTTATAATTGTGCCCAATGAATCAGAATGAGGAAGAGGGACACCAGTGTGTAGTTTTTAAGAAGGCTCAAATGTGATTCTGATGCCAGAACCCCCACCACAAATCATTTAATGGCCTGGAAATTCCAAATTTTCAAAATCTATATATTTCACAGACTGCCTCTCACATCTGAAAATGCATAAAACCCCTGGTTTTTATTTTGAAAAAATATAGTGATTACATCACTTATGCTAATTAACACCATATGTTTAAGTTATGAAAAGTATGCCTTTGTGCCATTACAGACCTAATCTTAATCAATCCTTTCTTGTACAGACACTTTTTAAAGAATAATGTATTGTACTAAAGGCAACACATAATTGCCATACAAAATAAACATGAAAACAGAATTCTAATGTGATTACTAACCATTCTGCCTGCCTTCACCAACCACCCCACCAGCACCCTCCCACACACACAGCAATGGGAACAGTAACTGAATTTGGGCTTTGTCTATTGAAAGTTTCACTTAAATGAAGCAATAACATACATCATGATATCAGCCTTATGCAAAACGAAGTTCAGTGTACAGTACTTAGAATAGAAATCGAAATAGGAGAAGCAACATAAACTAGTGGTTAAGAGCACAGGCTCTAGTTCTAGAGCTAGCCTAGGTCTGAATCTCCATTCAGTCTCTTACTAGTTACGTGCCTTAGTTAAGTAACATGTAAAATATTCTATAAATATTAGCTGTTGTTACTTAAAAATAAATGTGATTTGTATGTTCATTTTCTCTTCAGCGTGAGGAGAACTTTCTGAAATTATTTTAGAATCAGCTTATCAGTTTCTATTTTAAAAAATCTGCTGCGATCTAGATTAGGATT